ATACTAAATTTGTTGATTTTTCTTATGTAATAAAAAAGTTATTGAAGTTTAAAGTTAATGATATCAATATTTTTGCTATACGAAATTAGATAATGTTTGTACTGTATTTAAATTTTTATATGTTATTATATAGCCGCTATATTTATACAAACTAATGGTTTTTAATGCTATTCAAGTTTTTTTTTCTGAAAATGCTTTCTAGCATTCTTAACTGGTTTTATATTAAAATTGGCAAAGTATGTAAATTAAATGTTATTTAAATTCATAGCGTTTAAAAAACTAAATTTTATTAAAATTATTTTGTCATAAATTTAGATCATATGTTGTTTGTTATAACTAAGAAAATAAATTATATTTATTTTGATGTCATTTAGATATATAATAAAAATAGACTAAATTTAGATCTTTTTTATCGATCCATTTTTCATATCATTAAAAAATTAAACAATAATTTTGTCATATATTGCAAGGAAAATATAAAATGTTTTAATAGAAAAATTATATCATGTTTTCTAATTTACAGTATGCTATTGTAAATATATACAATTGAATTTTTAAGCAATACAACAAAATTTCATATATCATTTAAATTATATATATATATATGAGTATTTGTAATTTTAATAATTATATATTTATATACATATTTTATATTTAGTTAGATTATATACACAATAATAAACATAAAAATGTGTTAAGAATTACTTGTGTTAGCAAATGAGTATAAATGGGTACATAATATATATATATATATATATATAGAGAGAGAGAGAGAGAGAGAGAGAGARAGAGAGAGAGAGAGAGAGAGAGAGAGAGAGCGCGAGCGAGAGGTATTCAAGAGATAGTTGAGTTCAATGAACCTCAATATATATTTTCATTTATATATATATATATATATATACTGTTATATATTTGTATATACCGTATATAGAGAAGCAGAGAGGCGCAAGAATATATATATATATCTAATATAATGTTATATAGAATTATAAGAGAAAATTCAATGTACAGTACAGTAGAGTACATTTCTATCGATTAATAGAAAACTTAATCATAAATCAAATTCTCATATATTATGTTAAATATTATAAAAACTTCAATATTACAAATGTTAACTGTGTTTGTAAGTCCATATTATAATTATTTATATAATTAAATTCATTTTAGATATAAATCATTGGTTTTTTTAATAAATAATTTTCAAATGATAGCTTAAATTGACGACAGTTTCATTAATAACACAATGTATATAATTATTATATGCATATATTGTTATAATTATGAAAAATTAATCGTAAGCTCAACTCAATTGGTAAATATTAATATGTCAGTAAAAACAGATAAATATTTGACAACAATAATGAATGACTAAATTGTTAATAAAACAATAATTGAAAAAAAAGATCAAACCTTTAGTTTCGCATTTCAATTGAAGGGCTTTTTTGATTTCTTGATTTGATTTTCTTGAGTTATTAGTCTTAGATGTGTTGGCAGTATTTGAAGTGTTAGAGTCAGATGTAATAAATGATTCTTCGCTAAGACTGACCGTTGAGGTGACAATCTGTTCCTCAGATATGGTTGAAGTATTGTTGGCCGACTTGCGAGACACTCGCTTTGGTCTTACGCTCGCCTGTATTGCTGTCATTTGTTTTTTTTGTTGCGATTATGACTTATGATTTTTATAAACCCGTTTACCCGATAATATATTAAAGTTTGATTAGTCAATTGTTTTCTTTTTTGAAAAATATCTGTAAAAATATATAAATTTACAATTAATTAAATTTAATGATTACCTGTGAATGAAAATGTTGTGCAATAAAGTTTATTTTACTATAGAAATGCAATAACAAATGTATATTTTATTTATACCAAATGGGAATCAATTCTTTTATCAAATAATTACAGAATATTCTTAATTATTTAAAGAAAAATTATTCTGAATGTGTAAACTTATAAAGAAATAAATAATACTCTAATGAAAATTATAAATATATATTTTTGTAGAATATTTTATGTAAATATAGTAAATTAATTTATACTAATATTTACAATAATAATAATAATAATAAACATAAGAACAGGTAATCACAAATAAATAAACTACTATACTATACTGTATCAATTTACTTACATTTAAATTATAAATTGTTTGCGTGGATAACTGTTAATTATTATATAAAAATTGATGTCATAAACAAAATATTAAAACAAATAAAATGATTGTTTGTTTTGAAAGACCGAAAGATGTAAAAAATAAAAGTAAAATATATAGTATTTAATCGGCGATTAATTTATGTAGATATGACTCGATTGAAAGGCATAGTGTTTATGAGTCGACGCCTCCTTTTTGAAGTTACATTTATTTACAATTATACAAAACGTGAACACAATTTATGTTATTAATAATTATATAACTATATTTTATATATATAAGCAAATATTTTTGAGTCAATTTTAATGCAGACCAATGTAATAGCTCTAAATGATTGGCAAACGAGGTGTATATGAAAATAAGTGCACAAATAGATATTGAAAGTGAGTTAAAATCATATATAACGCGACTGCAAAACACATCCCTCTTATGGAGGACTCTTGTGATGTAAGAGTCGATGCTTTTGACAGTATTTGTTGGACAGAATCGTTGGCTTCTGAGTTCGTGAAGATATAAATATCACTTTTGTCAACAGCACTGGTAGATAGCAATGGCATTGTTTGTACACATTTGCGCAAACGTTATATTCAATCTATGAATGAATATACTGTATATACAGTACAATATTCTACGGTATGTACCGGAGCTTTAATAACCAGTGCTTCAGTTCATTGAATTCTTACATATATTCTCTATCCATTTATTCAGTCATTATTTTCAATCTTTTATTTATATTTATTTATAAATATCTTATTCATTCATTTATTTAATATTTGTTACTTTGTATTTTTCAGTTAAAAATATATAATATATTATAATATCTTAAATGATAAATTTTTTATAATATTCTGTAATTAAAATTGTCACTAATTTAAATAAAAATATATTAAATCTATACAGAAAAAAATATTTTCTATTATATCATAAAAATAAATTGTTAATATTATGTATATTTGATAGCTAAATAAGTAAGGTTTATATAATGCTGTTATAACATTATCTTGTGTTTGGTTTAAATAATTAAATAACAAGGAAGTAATTTTAAGTATATATGTAAATGTAACTTATTTGACAAATTGATATAAATTATTATTATACATTTGTTGCAATAATAACTTCAAATTAATAATAGAAAAAATATGTTTAAAAATTTAGTATCCAATATAGCAAATGTAATTTTACAAAAAGAGAAATAATATGTTAGACTTATTTAAAAAGATATTTTATAATTAGATAAAACAACTGATTTTATTTAATAATTACATTAATTAATTAGTATATATATATATAACATATATTAAACTTGTTACTTAACCATTATTTATGCAACACTTAAATATATTATATTAACATTATTTGTTATTTGAAAATTAAAAAAACAAATAACATGAATTCTATAAAAAATACTCAATTTTGTAATAAATAATTTTGAATAATTAATTACAAACGTTAATATTTGAAATAAACTATTGTACACCTAATAAATAAAACTATTAAACAATGAAATTATTAAACAATATAATGTCTGATAAAATAAAACCAATATTTTAACTACCATTAAAGACTGTATTTACTTTATTAAATAATTTAATAGTATTTATATGTTTTTATAGATAAAAGTGTATTTAACTATGAAAAAAGATAAATTTAGATATTAAGTGACAAATGTGTCGTTAATAATGAGCAATAAAAATATAACAAAATATCTTACAGTATAGCAAAAATTACTGTAAAAACTGTTTATTATTTATGTACTGATAATATTTTGTTAAAATGTATACTCAAAGAAAACTTTATTTTCCCAAAATAATGATTAATGACAGTGAAAGTAAGTATGATGTCAATGATATGCATAGATTATATGAAAATATTATTACAATTTTTATTATTTATTAAAATTTAATTTTTGTTTTGTAAAGAGTTTGTCTATTGTTTGGTTTGATTCACACAAGAATTAATAGAAACGATAACAAGTCGTTCACACTTTTCCAACACAATTAAACCCTATATATATTATATTCAACAATAATATCACTGATTGTGTATAACGTTTTTTACTACTTTTGTATTAATATATTAATATTATCTCATTTACACAAACCATTTGTTTGACATCAGTGAGATTGAGTTTTTCTCAACTCAATGTTTCAATAAATACAGATCACATATATTATAGTATTAAATAAATATAAATTATATCTTATTCAATAGTGTAAGCAATGGCAATAAGACATTCAACCTATTATATTATTTTAATCTCACATTTCATTTGTGTGGTGAATATACAGTATATACTTGTAGTTAAAGCAGAAAAAATATAACTCTCTCTCTCTCTCTCTCTCTCTCTCTCTCTCTCTCTCTCTCTCTCTCTCTCTCTCTCTCTCTCTCTCTCTCTCTCTCTCTCTCTCTCTCTCTCTCTCTCTAACAGCTCTCTGTTTTCCTCTAAAACACAATACATCACTAAAATGTTTTTCCTTAGGCTCCGGGCTTACACATAGACTTCATAGAAGTTCATTGACTATTGCCATCGACAACTGCATCAGCAAAATCAATAAAATATATAACAACAAAATAATAAAAAATAACATTATATAATAGGTTTATACAGTATTGTACATTGCATTGCATACAACTACAAACAAACATCACATCACTGGAAAAGCAACATCTTTTTGATGCAAAAAATAACATTTCTTTTAGAAAGTAACCATCATTTTGATGCTATATTAATATATATATATATAAATTAAATTTAAATATATTGTATGTGTCATTCAAATATATTTTGTTATTTTAATAAAATGAAAAAATAGACAAAATATTTTAAAGTATTATAAAAAAATATATTTTATTTATCTCTTATTCTTTTGCAAAGACTACTGAAGTTAGAATCAGTTGACTTTCTTTTACATATTTCTTGCATTAGATGACAATGAGAGCATAGTTTGCAGTGATTCCATGTATTCTTTACACATCTTTTACAGACATTGCAGTGTTTGTATGGTTTTCCATCTCTTGCCGTACAATCATTGCATTGAAAACAGTGTTTATTATTTTTAGACACATATTTACAACAATAATCACAATAATAATATCCATCAGCTTTTGGTAATTCAATTAATTTAAGAGAAATGTTTGTAAATATCCTGACCGGCGAACCAAACTTTCGACCAGAGTTTGTATCATTAAATTTATTGTGATTTTGATAATCTACCAAATAATCAGACATTAAAAGACCGGGTATTTTGTCGGTTATACGCTTTTCGTTAAAATAAGGAAATATTAACATTATTGGAAGTGTTTCATTTTCATCTGCAATCGAGTGATATTTTCGCCAAATATCACTAAACTTTCTTAAAGTTTTGGCCATTGCTTCAATGAGACCACCAAAAGGTGGATCGACTATAATAACAATCGATTCTTTAGTTGATTTTTCAATAAATCGCATAAATGTGGTCTCATCTCGAGTACCATTGAAAAAGTAATTATTAAATAAATTAAATTTTAAAAACTTTTTAGGAGAATAAAATTGTTTATATCTGTCGTCGATATCTAACAAAATACTCTTAATGTTATCGATTCTTCCGGATGTCAAGTGTTCATGAATTGTTGGACAACCTATACATATAACTGATGTAAATTTGTTTTTAACAATAATATCATTGACTATGAATTTGATGGTTTGGTCGGCAAACAAATATTGAGCGCAAAACTTATTGTCAGTCAAACTTGTCATCAATTTTGTAGGACTTTTCAACTGTTGTTCAGTGATATCACTAACAATATAATGTGTCTTATGATCAGACAATACATCTTCTGTGCCAATAATTAGTGAACAGTTTCGACAAAATTTCAATCCATTTGATGATAATTTCATCAAATTTTTATCGTAAGAGTATTTCAAATTGATTTCATTTTTTGTTTGTTGAAGTTGTCGTTGAAATTTGATTTTCAATTGTTTCTTACATTGAATTGTTTGCCACTCTTGTGCTGTCAAATAAAACGGACAGTCCTTTCTTGTCCGACAAGAAGAACATGAATAGAATCTCTTGTTTTTGTTGTCGATGTCTTCAAATAGCAAAGTTGGTCCGTGAATGCACTCGGGATTGACTAAGAGGTCGGTATCGATGAGCCGAATGCGGCCAACACTTGTCGACGACTTTGGTTTCATCTGACCTATCAATTGATGGCCACTCTATCGGCGATCACTTGTTGTCATCCAAAACACGTTTGTTTACATTCACTGCATTCACATAACATGTTTCATACAAAAACACATTTCACGCAAAATCCCCAAAACGTTGTTTTATAACTAAAGACTATATGTTTAGAAAATAATAATATATTAATAATTAAATTATTATTAAAAGTTATTATGGATTATAAAATAAGTATTTACTATACAATGTTTATTAAATTTAATTTGATTTTCATAATTATTTTCCTAAAATCTATAGTTTTTAAAACTAAAAATATAGTCTTTGCTTACTTTAGCCCTATATTTAAGTGTTTAGGGATTTGTCGGTCGATTCCGATAATACACTGACTGTTAGTGTTTGAAATGATTTTGAAGATAATGAGGAAACAAGTGATTAAGTGATGATTTCAAACATCATTGAAGACTATTTAACATCAATTGAGACCAATTGATGACCCAATTGTGTCGGCAAACATGTCAATTGGTTAAGCAATTAATTAACAAATTATGGCAATTGTAAGTAATCTCCTAATTATCAAATGAATATGATTTGTGTATTTCTTGTCATCCATTGGTTATTATCTCTTCATTTTATTTATTGAGACACAGAATGAGACAAGAATTGGTTTATTGAGTGTCAATGAATCCAACCATAAGATGCGGATCATTGTCAATGGCAAACAACTTATTATACAAGAGTGCTATCATAACATTGATGACCACAATAAGGCGTTAAGTCGTGAGTCCATCGACGACAGGTCCACACAATCATCAGATGAGGTGATCAGTGGTGTCACTAATTAATTTTTTTTAATGTCATTTATTACATTTTATATAATTAAATACAACATTTTGTGTCATATAGTCTAATAAGATGACCAGTCGTTTAGTGATCTTACACCGACACGAGTCGTTAGGTTTGGGTCTATCAATAAAAGGTGGTTCAGAGCACTCGTTGCCAATACTGATCTCACGTATTATCAGCCAAAGTCCCGCTGATATCAGTAAACAGTTGTTTATTGGCGATGAAATACTAGCCGTTAATGGCATTGAATTTGATGGGACGACAACACATGACGAAGCATTAAAACATTTGCGACAATCGGGTGATGATATAACACTAAAAGTTAGACATCACAGAGTGGCCAATATTTATCGAAGAAATTGGCGTAAAGATGACAATCATATTATCGATTTGCCAAATGATAATCCTCTGATCAGGAAGACATCGACACTTGACTTAAATAAAACAAAAGAGTTGTGTAAATGTGATGTCAAGTCAACCAATTGGAAGGAATGTCTACGAATGGAACTCTTCTTATCGAGTCTTTCACAATACGTCTCGTTTAGCGACAAATTGCGTGATTCGGGATTTGAAGTAAAGGCCATCAATGGACAGACAGCTGTCGTTCAGTGCGATAATCAAGATATGTGTCAACAATGGTGTCAAACAATTACTAATGACATTAACAATCTTACATATAATCACGTAAGTCAATGATTAAAATGAATTACTGGTAATTTTAGTTGAGTTTCTAAGTTTTATTAAATTTCAGATGAAACTCATAAATAAATCGTTGCCAAAGTCAGAACAGATACTATTTATGGGTTGGATTGCAGAATGTCAAACAAGTGGATACCAACCGAAACAAATCTATAAGTGGTCTCAACAATATCTCGTTGTGAAAGGAGGTTTGGTTCATGTATTGAAGAGTCCGCCCGATTCACTAATTGAAAACAATAATAGCAAACTGACCACTGATCTGATTAGTAAATCATTATATTACTATAATTGCTATCAATCGGTATTTCGGTGCATCAAATCAAATGAACAATTGGATGATAGAAGAAACACTTTTGTTATTCAAAGTGCCGATCAGTCATCGGTTAAATATTTTGCCGCAGAAACTAATGATGATTTGGTTCATTTTAAGAACGCATACCATAGAGCTAACTATCATTCCGTTACACAATTAGGGGTATAAATAATATATATTATTTAGTAATGTATTTATTAATAATGTTTTTTTAATTAATTTTATTAAAGAGCAAAACATTTTCGGTTGTTTGCGACAAAAAGTCGACTTCGCTAACACTTGACTGGTGGATGGGGTTTGCTCTGTTTGACCCCCATATGAAAGAGTACAAATGGATATATAAGTTTCATCAATTGAAACACTCATCAGATGACGGAAATCATAAATTGTCGCTCACTTTTGTCACAAATCCCAGCGATAGTCGTGTCACTGAAACTCAACTCATTGAATGCAATCAATTACAGAATCTCTTGTATTGTATGCACGCTTTTCTCAGCGCTAAAGTGGCATCAGTTGATCCAAGATTTTTGCAATCATCTTAAAAAAGAGAGTATTGTTTAGTATTATTGTAGGATATGCTTAGCATTTATTTATAAAATGTATATTTATTATGTAAAATATTTTATTTTGCAATTTATTAGCCAAAAGTCACTGATTTTTATTATTTATATGATAATTGAGTGCAACGAGTATTAGTCAATTTATACACAAAAAAAAAACAATTATTTATTTGGGTTTTTAAAAAGAATTAAATACAGTATTTATATTTATTATAGTAGTAGTAATAATAATATACAATATAATATATATAAATTATGTATTAATGTAATTGATAAAAATGGATTGAATTATTTGCCAAAGCTTATTTATACACGAATTGTTATATTATGTAATAATTTTAAATATATTGTTAGTTTTTTTTATACATTTTTGATAACATTTTAAATTAATGATATTCATTATAATGTCATTTTGTTAGCCTTTTTGATGAAGCCTTTTGTTAAAATAATAATTTATATTTACTATTGAAATGATGGTGCGTTAGAAAATTGACTAAAGTTTTGCAATATTAATTTGCCTTAAATTATATGTTATATATGGGCCATAAAAATATTTTGCATTGTGTTTTTATTGAATAAAACTGATTATTAATAAAATTTGTTACTTATTTACAACCATCATCAGGGTCATCTATTTAATAAATCAATTAAATTAGATAAGTATATATAAAGAAGTATTTCATTAATTATGTCCGAGTGGTTTTCTAAATAACTTTTGATCTGGTAGAGATAAATTATTTCTGTAAAAAGTTTATAATTTAGTTATTTTCGCGTGATAATAACCACTTTTCATTTTTAAATTTAAATCACGTGATCACATTTTTAACGGGATGTTTGCAAACCACTGTCAAAACCTAACCTATAAATGATTAATGATAAATGATAAAAATTTTATAGCAAATTTGTAAATCTTAAATTGATAATTTATGGGAAGAAAATTTTTTGAAATTGGTCGAATAAATTTTCTATGACTTTTCGAACTTGTGGAAAAACACATTATATAAAATAGTCGAAAATAAAATGACGTTATTTATGGATAGTAGACAATTATTAGATTTTACTACTATTACTTTTTCTAAAAACAAAATTTTTTTATGTCGAATATTTTTTCAGATAATTAAATTACACTAAAAAACGCAACATTGTAATACGATAATGTAATTTTTATTTAAATTTGATTATCTAAAAAAATATTCGACATAAAAAATTTTGTTTTTAGAAAAAGTAATAATATTAAAATCTTTATCTAATAATTGTCTACTATCCATAAATAACGTCATTTTATTTTCGAATATTTATATAATGTGTTTTTCCACAAGTTCGAAAAGCCATAGAAAATTTATTCTTCGACCAATTTCAAAAAAATTTCTTCCCATAAATTATCAATTTAAGCTTTACAAATTTGCTATAAAATTTTTATCCTATCATTATAGGTTAGGTTTTGATATAGTGGTTTGCAAACATCACGTTAAAAATGTGATCACGTGATTTAAATTTAAAAATGAAAAGTGGTTATTATCACGCGTAAATAACTAAATTATAAACTTTTTACAGAAATAATTTATCTCTACCAGATCAAAAGTTATTTAGAAAACCACTCGGACATAATTAATGAAATACTTCTTTATATATAATAGTATTTTATTAATATGTATAGTATATAACTTACAGACACATCGGGGAACCATTGGTTCCCAAACACCATATTGTGTACAAAGAGCATATCTGGGACCAACTAATAGATAATTGTGAGCACATGTTAGGGCACAATGCCTTCCGGCTAAACCAGTTGGTAGGCACTGACCAGTTAACAGTCCATTATGTGCCGGTATTGCAATACATTCTGTGATAAGTTTATAATTCATAATATATGCAAATATTAAGGAATAGCTTACGTCTTAAACAGATACCAATACGTCCTCTCCATTTGCCATTTGAATTACACGTTAACGTTGTTGTATTTCGTCGACCGGCCATTTGATAACCTCTTTTGCATTGAATCAAACATTTAGTACCAATTTGTCCGCGAAAACAAATATCATTAGGTTTAACCCCTCGGGAAAAATTAAGAGATCGACAACTATCTGTACTATTAGTGGGACTTATAGTTGTTTGAATGCATTCAAAATCATCGGTTGACTCACTCCATGTGCCATCTTCTTGACATTTGACTACTTTGGTCTGAGAAATGTCTAATAAGAAAATGATATTTTTTAAATACATCAAAACAAACAATTAAATACCCGATTCACACGATAGTGTACAGGATTGATCAAATAGACCCGGAGTACAGGCGCCACTCATGATAACTCCTTGACCCGGACTTAATGGTGGACACTCTTTAGGTTTACAAACGGCTGGTTTATCAGTCCATTGTCCGTCGGGATTGCACGTCACAGTAGTTTGTCCATCTAAGTTGAAGCCATTGGAACAGCTGAATGAACATATGCCCGACGGAGTTCCCGGACTGCATGTTCCCGATGCTGTCCCGTGTTCGGGATTACCAATATTTGGACATTCAATGGTTGTATCGGCAGAAAGTATAGTCTTATTACTATTCATACCATTTGATGCTTTATTTATGAACTCATATTATATTTTGAATTTTTAAAAAGATATAATTTATATTAATATGAAATAAACTATTAAACAAACCTTGACTATATGTAAGTATTATTATTAAGGAAATTGAGAAAATTGAATGAAAAATTGTGTTAAATGTGTTTAACATTGTACTGTATTGTATATATAAATTTATATAAAATGTATTTATTGTTTAATAAAATTGTCATTTTTATATCCACAACAAAATTAATATATTAATTGTAAATTTTTTCTAAGTGTTTATTCATATTATACGATAATTATTTTTATGGATGTTTAATTATTTTATTAATTATGGAAAATTTTAATTGTTAACTGCTTGTAAAAATGGAAAAGTTTGTTTAATTATTTTTAATTTTTTGTTTATAAAATATTATTTATTTACTGTGTTATCCATTAATTATTTATTCATATGCTTTATAAGTACTGAATAAATAAATATCAAATATTTGACAGAATCAGAGAAAGATATATATATACAGTATATTCTCTATTAAAGCTTTAAGCAAACAATTTATATGAATATTTTAAATAAACATTAAAAATCAAAACCCTTTAATTTAAATATATACGACACTAACCAATACCTTTAAAAGTGAAAATTGTAATTAAATTTAATAAATTGGATAAATTGATAGACTTTAGACGTACTAATACAAGTGGGCGGTGGGACAGACCATTGACCTCTTCTGCATAATATCGATCCAATGCCTACTAACTGATAGCCTTGATTACATAAGACACGACATATATGTCCCTCAATTCCTGGCACACACCAGCCTTTTGTTTGACTACCCGAAGGTATCACTATAGGAGGACATTCTGTAAACAATACATTACTTAAGATTTAGTGTTAAATTATTTACAAAACTATTACCTCTTAGACATCGAGGAACTTGTCCTATCCATCGTCCATTTGATCCGCAAACAACCGTTTGATTGCCGATAAGTCTGAAACCTCTATTGCATTTGATAGCACATGATTTACCGATTTGTGGTAAACGACAATCACCATAAATATTGCCTCCAATTGATTTGACAATAATTGGAGGACAGACACCTGAACTACCAGAGCCAGATACTGTAGCTTTGCTATGAGCCAAACATGTTATTTTCATGTTAAGTATATCAGGATTACTCCATTTACCATCCGAAGTGCAAATCACATTTGGTATAACTGGTGTCAATTTAAAACCTAATAAACAATTGAATAAAATTATATTTATTATTTTAATAATATTATTATTATTCATATAATATGCAAACCGTTTGGACAAATAAATTGACAATTTTGCTTATAAATGCCTGGAGTACAGACACCTTTTAGGGAACCGTTAGGCTCAGGTCTAGTCAAAGATGGACATTCAACTGGTTTACATTTAGGAACTGCTGAACTCCAACCTTTAGATTCACATTTTAATTGCGAGTTTCCCACTAAAATATATCCATTTTGACAAATCACTTGACATATTTGAGACTCGGTTGTACCCCTCACACACTGGCCCTCAAAATATCCATTTAATGGTGGATTAAGTGCCTGACATGTTGTTTGTTCAGACATACAAACCGGTATATCTTTATCCCATTTACCATTTTTTAAGCACTTGATATCATATATTTTGCCATTTTCACACATAATTTTACAAATTTGATCAGGTTCACCAATTGCACAATTTTCTAGATAAACACACGTTTAATAAAATGATTAAAATAACATGTAACTAAACTGTAAACAGTAAACTGTACCTGATAATTTGGAATTTTTAATATCAGAAATAATCGGACATTTTATAACTTCATTTTTAATACATTTGGGACAACACTGTCTGTCCCACTGTCCGTTTGTCAGACAAGTATATATTGAATGTCCGTCCAATTTATAATTTTCTCGACATTTGTATTCACATGTTTTGCCACTTTATAAAACACAATATTATTATTATATGTATTAATAATATAAAAAAGTAATTTTTATTTAAAAACCTGATTCCCGACTCACATATACCCGTCCGGATACTGTTATCTATTTCTTTCAATCCTTTAAATTAAATTATAAATATAATGGCAATGAATATAATTATAATAGTTATTTACTATATACCTGAGCAAGTTATGGCAGTATATTCACAAACAGGTAATATATGACTCCAATTACCTATTATTTTAAAGAATTAAATGATACCTTAAATAAATTATATAATATAATAAAAATACCATTTCTTTTACAGGTGATTGTCTTTGATCCCATTAATCTGTATCCCTTATGACAAACAACACTACAATTATCGCCTGGTTTACCATATTTGCATTGTTCAGGTATTTCAAAGTCTATAAGAAAAATAGTGGTTTCAAATATATAATATAATTGTATTTATTTACTGTATTTAAAAAACAATAAATAAACCTCCGTTTTTAGGTACAACTAGTTTTGGACAATTTTTAATACATTGAGGAATATCTTCTAAATTCCAGCCATTTTCAGTGCAAATAAGACTTTTGTTAGGTCTAAGTTTGAATTCATCATAACATTTGACAATACATTGGTCATCAAGTCTGGCATTTTTACATTTGCCTTCTGTATAGCCATTATTCGGTGAAGTTATAGTCGAGCACTTTCTTTGACGGGACACACAAATCGGTAATTTTGATTGTGTCCTAATCGGCAATTTTGATTGTGTCCAACCATCTTCAGTACAAACAATTTGTGGTATATATGGAGTCAATACAAACTCTGAATCGCATTCAATACTACATTGTTGATGAAGATCAGGTCGTTCGCAGTGACCACTAATAAATCCATTATTTGGTGCAATTATATTAAAACATTTTGATTTTACATTTTTTATTATAATTTTACACTCAGGTATGCTTTGTGGTTCCCAACCATTGTTAGTACATCTGATAATTGGTGTGTTAGGGACTAAATGATGGTCAGAATCACAACCAATACTACATTGTTGGTGAAGGGATGCGTGATTGCAGTGACCGCTCAAATAACCGTATTTCGGTCCATCAATATCTCTACATATTTGACCTGAAAATTAAATAAAATTTTATTTTTTGACTAATTTTTTTGGTCAAAAAACTTACTTAGAATTAAATTCATTTTAAACAATTCAAATATAAGTATAAATGTTTGTTTGATAAAATCCATATCATTAATATTTGAATTAAAGTTATTTATCCATTTAATTATTTTTTATAAATTAAAACATTCAAATATTATAATATTATTTAAAATTATAATAAATAACTTTATGTTATATTAAACAGTATTTATAAGAGAAAATTTAAATGATTTATTTATTCAGTTTATTTATAATTAAATACAGAATTAAAATGTTGCGTTAATTTAAATCATTTTCTATAACCGTAAATACAGTTATGTTTATTTAAAATTATTAAAAAAAGTTAAAATCAATTAATTATTATAACATTATAAAGTATAATATTAAATAAAGAGGATTAATATAATTAAGAGATTAATATTACAAAATATTAAATAATTTAAAGTAAAAAACTTTTTCATTTATCATTTGATCCGTTGATAGCAATAGGAACCACCCTTTCTTTGCCCATCAAAAGCGGTAATTGTTGTTTGTTGGCCACAATAGTTAACACACCATTTGGTTTGAGACTTGAAACGACATCCTCTGGTTTACATCCATCGGGTAAAGCATATCTGCGAGTGAACTCACGTGAGACCCATCCATGACTATCACATCTCTCCTCATGTTTTCCGTGAATTTGAACACAATTGCCAACTGTTTTGACCTCAATTTCTTCGGGCTTGAAGTGACTGACATCCAAATTAACTGAAAACTTGTCGGCCGTGTTGGCCACTTGTGATGAATCAGTCGATTCATTAATTCTGTTCATCGATCGGTTCAAGACATCGTCAAAATCTTGTAAATCGAGACCAAAATGTTGTCCAAACAAACTTCGCGGCCAATCATACCGATCGCGGTATCGGCGGTTCAAAAATGGATGATTTGCTAAAAACAAGTCCAATGACATCGCTTTGATAACAATTATACAAATTATCAAAAAAATTGCTATAATATCGAAAAAGTGTTGAAAATTTTCAATTTATTTGTCACAACTTTAAACAAATTTTTTTTTCGTTTTCACTGTTATATACTTCAAGTGTTTCACTGCACGGCTTATATATAGTGTTATGCAGTGAAACGCGAAAACTCTAGAAATGTCTATAAAATTTGCTGTCAATTCATTGCTATGTAAATTGTATACTAAAATTGTATGCCTTTTAGCCATACATTGCAATCACTTATTGTAACGCAAGTCTCGAACATTCATAAGCATTGACTTTAAATGTTGTCATTCAAAGCATAGCATAGAGTTCGCGAAAATTCCAGTGCTTTCGACTTCACTGCAAAACACCTATATATATGTTGAGCTCCGGTTTGACTGACATTGCATTGAAAAAAAGTTAGAAAAGTTATATAACTTTTGTTGCGATTATCTTTCAAATAAATTAATCAATTGTTTGTTTTTTGATATATATATATATATATATATATATATTTGTGAGTCAAGAACTATATTATAATTGAAATTATAATTACGACATAATGATGTATCACATGTTGATGCCGTGTACGCCATTTATCGACTATTGGCCCGAGACTATGCTAATGCTGGACACGGATCAGTTAGCAAATGCAAAACCAAAAAATCAAATGAGACGACCAAATGATGATAACCGACAAATAGCTAACTCATCACAAATAGCTAATAATGTCCACAAATTTATTATTCGTTTGGATTGCAATCATTTCAAACCAGAAGAACTTGAAGTCAAAACTGACGGCAAATTTTTAAAAATTCATGGAAAACATGATGAAAGATGTGATACTCACGGATGGATTGCACGTGAGTTCACCAGAAGCTATGCTCTGCCCGATGACTGTGACTCCGATACTGTGGTCTCCAGTATTAACTCGAAAGGCATTCTTACTATCGAAGCGAAGAAAAAGTCGAAAGTCATTGAAGGAAATGAAATCAATATTAAAATAAATGTCATCAATGGTAACGACATAAAGGATAAGACAAATAATACCGATAACAACACCAATAATTAGATAATTGTTTCAAAAAGTTATTTAATTTAATTTGAGTGCATTTATTACAATATTATAAGTTACTATTTTTTATGTTTGTTATTGTAATGCATTTGTAATTGTATTTAATATTATACTGTATTTTATTTGACAATACTTAATTAAATATCATTTTATTAATAAAAAATATTGTATTTATTTATTTATACCGGTATTATCTATTAATACTATTGTAATTTATACTAATGTATATATTAATAAATCATACATTAATCAATTTAACTAAAACTAGATATTTATAATAAATAAAAATGTTAATTATATTTGTATTAATTATTAATATCAAAGAATTGTGGAATTTTATCGATGACTTCAATCTTTGGTTTTGTTACTAACTTTTCTGCAGAAGTTTTGTGATATTTAGATAATGTTTTAATTGAATTTAGTTTTTCGCCACAGTTTTGTTCATTTAATAAATTTTCTGATTTTTCAATTTTATTATTTTCTTTGTTCTGCTTATTATAGTTAATATTTTTATCATTTCTGCGAACATGTCTTTTATCGTACAACTGATCCGACATCAGAGTTGTTGAAGACTTTTTGTCTGTTGAATCATTTGATGTTTTATATTTTGGCGATTTGTTTGAATGACTCTTTTGTTTATATTCTTCGTTATTATATTTTTTAGTCTGTAATTCAAATGAATTGTTGAATTCGTCATTAAATTCTTCGGGAACATTCAGATTGTTTGATAATCTCAATTCATTTCGATAATTGGGAACCGTTTGCGAACTCTTAAGCAAATCATCGAAAAATGCTTCCGATTTGTTTTCATCGTTGAAAATAATGTCCGATATATTCAAGAAATCTCTGTTTTTCTTCAAACTCGTTGTTTTAATGAAATCATTTTTCTCATTCAAAAACTGTGACAATAGTTTTCTGTCCTCTAAGTTATTAGTATTGAGAATTGCTTTCGAGTCTAAGCTTTTAGTTTCATTGACTCCATTATAGGTCACATATAACTTACGATTGTCGGCACAAAATATTGGCACATCAGGTGCTAAAAGTTCATTTGTGTCGCACTTTAATCAATAATAACAATAATAAATGGTTTTAATTTAATAATTTATTCAAATAATAATATTATATAACTTACAAATTGAATGGAAAAATAATCGGAATCGTATCGGGGATTAAATTCCATTAAAATTGGATTTAAGACTTTAGCGCAGATTGTCGATGGCTTAGACTTAACATTGATGACCAATCCGTTTGGCAACTTTACATCAAATGTTATTCTTTGCTCTACTCGTATCTCATTGAATGTCATATGCAAAACATCACAATTAAGATCCAATGCCTTAAAAAATATATTTAATAAAAATTAAAAGTTAAATTAATAATTAAAAAAAATACTAAAATTACAATATCTGAATTGACAGGAAAGGCTTCAAATGCTGTATAATATAAAAATTTTTTCTCTAAAAGAATTTCCAATAAATTTTTCAGAGTTTGTGATTTCGTTATTTTGACTCTTTCTTTCGGACCGTCGCTAAACATAACGGTCAGCGACCGGAGCGCTGGACTACTGAATTGGGCGACAAGATTATGATTATTACGATTTGGTGTCAAAGATATATTTGATTGAATCCATTGAATAGATTGCATTTGTGTCGATCGCATGTCTTTTTGTCGACATTTTATGGGATGAGATTCATTTGGACTACAAATAGTTGAAGAATGGTTTAGACTATTGAGACTATTATCACAAATTAATTTATTTTTATTGATTAGCCTTTTCTTTGGACTTAAATTTTTCAAAAGTTTTTGTTTATAAATTCTTCGATTCATTTGATTATTGGTTTCAAGTTTTCTTAATTTTTTGAATGCATTTTGTCTGTAACGAGAACTAGTTATTGGATTGACTTCTTCTAAATTCTTAATAATTGGTGAATAACAACACTTTTGGGCACTTTTAACAATATTTTCATGAAAGGCATTGTCACTCATATTGTTGTTGTAAAATGACTTTAGAAATCGTTTATAACAATCATATTTCATTAAATTATAAATCTGTAAATAAATTAATAAATTAATAATAACAATAAATAAAAAATTAAAGTAATTTATTATTATTATTATTATTATTATTAATACCTGTTTTTCCGGTACAGCAAATAACTCTTGTTTGGGATCTTTGAGATTGTCTTCTACTGAATGAATGGCAAGACTGTCGACATTGACTGCATCTGAAGCCCCGGCACTCAGGTATTTATTGTATATATGTTTTGCAAACTCCACCCTCTATTCAATAGTAATGTTAATAACATAATGTAATAAATAAGTTATATTTAATTATAGATATATCAACAACAAAATTGTTTATAATAATTAGAAAAAACTTACTTTTTTATTATCCGTAATTTTCTTATACTTTTGACAACACATCCAAAATTTAAGATTTTCAATACTATACTCTTTATTGAGAAACTCCTATTTATATATAATATAATAAATAATATGATTGAAATTAATCAGATTTGTTGCTTAAAAGTGTAAAATCAAATCAAACCGAAAACAATTTGACACCAGTTTTGTCGTTCAATAGTTTGTCGAAATCATGGATCCAATCGCACAAAAATTTAATATCTTTTGACAATTCATTTGTTAAGTCCATTGCATTCAATATATATATATATATATATTCTATACTTTTATCATTAAATTTTTATTAATATACAACTAATTTATTTATTTCTAACAAATTTAGCAAATCTAATAAATAGTAATTTATTAAATTTGTATAAATATTTAACTTATTTTTTTTGTATTTATATATTTGTGTGAATTTAAAAAAAAAAAAATAATTCACAAAACTTTTAAACCGTTTCACAATATTATACGACAAAAATGTTGTTTGAATATTGAGAGTCAAAGAAACTATTGGCTGAACTAATGCTTCAATTGAGGAACAGATGTTAAGGAATGGCATAACGTATGGATAACTGGAATGACTGCCACACGACCTATCCGTGCGTTTCAATGCATCAGTGCTTTCCATTGCACCAGTAGTTTGGTTTTCACTAGTAGTTTGTCTCACATAAGAGACATATTATACTAATGATAACTTTTTTGGTTTTTAAAAAATTATTATTTGAATTTTATAATTGCCTATAATTTAACGATATGTTAATTGTGTAATTAGTTATCTAATAGAGTATATAATGCAACTATGATTACAATTAATAGAGTATTTATTAGTTATATTACTTTTATATACTAATTATATAAATTTAATTATGATTACATACTTAGGAATAAATAGATTATTAAATATATTAACATCTTAATAAATTTGAATAATAGTAAAAACATTTTTACATAACCTTTATTTTAAACATTATTCAAATTATTACAATAAAAAATAGTGTAACTAAATAACTAAAATAATGATAATCTTTAAATTAAAAAATTTAATCTTTTGTTTACACAAATTTTTGTTTAACAAAAAAACAATGTAAGAGGAAATCCATACATACGGATGTGCAAAGATCCCACTCTCTATAGTATAGACTCTATATATAGTCAACAAATTATTTTAACATTAATAACAGGAGGCTAAATGTCAAAATTAATAAATTAACAGTAATTATTTCAAAAATTTTAATATAAATTCTATACAAATGTTTAAATAAATTTCCTTTTGTTATTTCTATCTCATTGTCATAATTATATATTTTTAAAATACATTAGAAATGATATTACAATTGAGTTTTCTATTGATAGGACTGTCGGCAAACTTAGGTCAAGAGTGGACTTACGATGGTATGTATAGAGACTCTATAGTGTATCTAATAATTATTTAATAATAAATAAAGTATTTATTAATAATTATTTAAAACTGTATCAAATTGTTGTTATAATAGTTGCTAAAAAAGCCAAATAGTTATTTTTATTATTATATTTATTTTTTAATTGCATTAATTTTGATTAGATTGGATGATAAAAATAAAATTTCATTTTTTTCTTCAAATCTCAGGCGCTTATTATCACTTAAAATATTTTTTATTTTAGAAAAATTTCTCAATAGTTCTATTATTAACTCAATAGTTGTCAAAAAAAAATCCAAATAATTATTGAAATAGTTATTTATTTATTTTTAAATATTTGCAATCATACAAGTGATAACTGATTCGCTTGTTTTCAGCATATTTTCAACAATGATTTACACAAATATACTAATTATTTCTGTTGTTAACAACAAATAATATAAATTAAAACAGTTTTATATAATTTTGTACCACATATTGTAATATTTTATATTTTATTTTAGTATTATAATTTAAAAACGACGTTTATTATAACAAAAAATGCATTTCTAGCCATTTTTTAAATAAAGTTTTCAAAATAGTACAGTATATATTAGTTTTTTAAATTGTATAATACAAACAGTACATTGTACTGTATTATACAAAGTCAAAATTCAAAACTTTATATTTTCCAACCCTGGTATTTATACAGTTAAATATGAGTAAAAATTTATAATTAATAAATTTTAGATATTGTATGTATTAAATACAGATTAATAGATAATTTATAATCAGTGATTATATGATAAGTTAAAATATATTAAAATAGTTAATATCACAATTCATTATTTTACATATTGTTAGATAATTAGTAAATTAGATAATACTTTACATATTTTTTTGTCATCATTTCATTTCTACTCTTTTAGTGACTTTTAAGACTAAATAAAAATTATTTTCTTTTTTTAATTAATATTTAGATAATATTAAATTTATAATTAATTTTTAAGTTTACTTATATCGAGTAATTATTTGACATTTATTTAAATTTATTTTTGATAAAATATTTTTATACTAAACAGACCAAAAAAGTTGGAAACTATTGTATCGAAATTGTGGTGGATATAGACAATCGCCAATTAATATCAACACTAAACAAGTTATTAAAAACCGTTCAATTTTCTTGAAATTAGTTAATTATAAAACACCACAATTCAATATAAATGCCAATAATAATGGACACACAGGTTAATTAATACTTATTTTTTGCATAATATATAATATAAAAATTATATTAAATACTATTTTACATAATCAGTTACCTATTATACTGTATTGTACAGTATATAAAGTTAGTCAATATTTATTTTAATTATTGAATTGAATATTTTTATTTAAAAATTTGTATATACTGTACGTAATACGTATCTAAACACAAAAAACAGTAAGATTTACATTAAACTCTCGAAACCAAAGACCTGAACTGACGGGAAGTGTTGTCGACAACAAAGTCTATGTGTTTGAAGAGTTACACATTCATTGGTCTGATAATAACTTAGAGGGTTCTGAACACTCAATAAACGACTATTTTTCATCGGCTGAGGTTTGTTTGGATAAACGTTTCAATACTAACTAAATTAATGTAACAAAAATTATCAATTATTAGATACATTTTGTTCACTTTAATCAAAGATATGACAGTTTGTCGAAAGCCAGAGATCAAAGGGATGGCTTAGTTGTTCTCACAGTTTTAGTGCAATTGTCTAGAGTTGACAACAAAGCCATTGAACCACTTATAAGAGTTTTACCACAAGTTTCGCGATATAATAGTTCAGCAATCGTTAAAAATGCCTTAATATTAGAAAAGTTATTACCGATAAATAAAGAGATCTTTTTCACATACAAAGGCTCACTGACTACACCTCCATGTAGTGAAACCGTAAAGTTTATCATATATGCTGATCCCATACGTATTAGTCCTTTTCAAGTTTGTATTATAAAGTAATTTATATGACAATGAAATTAATCAATTTGTTAAAACTTTTTTTTAATAGTTAAGTCAATTTAGACGATTACATGAAAGACCTCTGAATGGCAGAAGTTTAAAGATATTTAGTAATACTCGAGATATACATCGCAAGAATAGTAGGATTGTTGAGGTATCAGATGTTAGATTTGGTGACACAAGTTCTGGTAGTGATGTCGATGATTTCGGTGGCAATAATGATATTGATTACTAAATGAATATTATTAGGTATTTATAACAAATAAATTATATAAAAAAAAATAAATTATTGAAAACTGTATTATACTATCGATTTATTTGATAATATTCTGCTATTCTGATTACAAAATAAAATACAGAATAATATAAATAAATAGTTGAAAGTTTGTAAACTCATTCGAGTTTTATTTAGTTAATTGAAATAAAATAATATGCTTTTCTCGTGAATTAGTTTAAAAAATATTTTTAAATTTACGAATTTCTACAATTGAACTACTATTGCATTAAAACACAAATTGATACAAAAAAAAACTTTCCAAAAAGATATTTGATTTTATCGTTTTTTAAAAAATGAAGATAACTTTTAAGTCATTTGATTCGTTCATAAAAAGTGAGACAAATAATCAAAATGAAAGTCTGAATAATGAGAATATGGCCGACAAAGAGGTGACAGATATGAGGATAACGGGTTCACTCATACATATCTATGACGCGTCTCTATACCTAAAGACAACGCTAAATGATACGCGATATCAATTGGCCCAACAGTTCATTGAGGACATCCTATCAGATCCGCCGTCACCACTCAATGCCTTCATTTCAGTTCATATAATTGTAGGTCAATTAGAGTTTCATCGTAACTATCTGTCGGCTATTAATATAGTATTTATGTATTACTGGGATATTGTCCGCAACGACAACATTATTAACAAGATTTTACTCAATTTGGAGAATAGCTTTCAATTTGAAAATACATTTATCCGCGAAACCATTGTTAGGGCCGACAAATGTCTCAAAAAAATTGAAAAAGAGATGACAACTATCAGTAAGACTATAATGACGGCGGATATCATTATTTGGAGATATTGTGAGGAATTGAATCAAATTAAGCTTTGGTCCGACAAAACCAATGTTAACAGTATAACTAAAAATAATTGCAATCAAGTCTTTAATATTAATTAATTTTTATATAATGTTATTAATATATAATTTTTATATACTGTAAATATATAAAAACATTTTATATAAATTCAATAAAAATAAAAAATATATATAAATTAAATTTGATAGTTTCGAGTTTTATTTAACATAAATCAATGATTAAATTATTACAATACTTAATAATAATAAGTATTACTTATTATGATTATAACTAATCGTTTTGGTCATAATCTAACGTTTAATTAAATTTTGACTGAAATGCCAAAACGGTTTGCGTTAAGAAAACAATTATGATTTCAATTATGTAATAAAATATAAAAAATTTTGTTAGTTAGGGTGCCTTCTCTTTGAATGCCTCTTCAATCTCAGCGATCCTGCGCTCCATTTCATCCTTTTCCTTCCGAGACTTTCCTTTTTCAAATTTGGTTCTCTCTTCAAGTGTCATATCGGCCAACACTTTGGTGACAACACCGGTAGCTATTGTATTAGTTTTATCTCTTATAGTGAATCTGTCTCCCTGTTCAAAGATCATCGGTCGTAATAACTGTCAAAACAGATTCAATACCACATTACTAATAAATAATTTCAATTGGCATTCGTTTGGGACATACCTTAACAGACACGTGTGAATCTTCTCCGGGAAGCATCATATCCTTACCGCTGGCCGACAATTCAGCCAAACAATCCCATGTTTTGCAATACATTTGGGCTCTTTGGGTGTTGAGAAATGGTTTAGGAGTACCTCCCTCTTCCTTTTTAAGCATATATATCTGAGCCTCGACCACATCTGCCGGTCTGAATGTGCCCGGAGCTCCTACAGCCATTCCACGGCGAACTTGATCTCGTTTAAGGCCACGTAAAAGTGCGCCCAAATTGTCGCCGGCAACCGCCTCGTCTAATGTCTTGTGAAACATTTCAATACCGGTGACAACTGTTTTATGAGAGCGAGCGTAACCTAATACTTCTACTTCGGTTCCTTTTTTAAGTCGGCCTCTGTCTAAACGACCCGTTACTACAGTACCTCTGCCTTGAATACCATAAATGTGTTCAATAGGCATTAAAAATGGTTTATCTATATCGCGAATGGGTTGTCGAAAATGGTTATCAATTGTGTCCAAAAGTGTAACAATTGAAGTGCGGCCGATGTCATCTCTTTTGCCTTCCATAGCAGCCAAAGCTGATCCAAAAACAAATGGCACGTCGTCTCCCTTATAGCCTAACTCAGTCAACAGTTCTCGTAACTCCATTTCGACTAATTCTGTCATTTCAGTGTCAGCCGCGTCTACTTTATTCACATAAACAACAATATCTTCGATACCGATCTGTTTGGCTAATGTCAAGTGTTCTCTAGTTTGAGGCATAGCTCCGTCGGTGGCGGCGACCACAAGAATAGCCGCTTCCATCTGATTGGCGCCGGTTATCATGTTTTTGATGTAATCTGCGTGTCCGGGACAGTCCATATGCGCGTAATGACGGGCACCGGTCGCATACTCCACGTGTGCTATCAATACAATCAGATTAATACAAATGTCAATAACTTAAGTCTGAACGCATTCAAGACAAACCTGTATTGATAGTAATGCCTCTCTTTCTCTCTTCGGGTGCATTATCAATTTCGTCGTACTCTTTAACTTTGGCCAACTTTTTCTCGGCCAACACCTTAGTAATGGCAGACGTAAGTGTTGTCTTTCCGTGATCTACGTGACCAATGGTTCCGATATTCATATGCGGTTTATCTCGTTTGAACAGTTTAGGACCACCAGGTATTGGAGGACCAGCTGAAGACAGACATCGTTGAGCTGACAGACAACCAATCGACAAGTATTTGGCGGCCAAATGATTGCCGAAACCACTTTTCAGACACAACAACAACGAAGACATTGTTTGTTTTCTTCAATCAATTAACAGCTGATAATGTTTTAGGTAAGAAAAATGTGTGAAAAATGTGATATCAAAACAATGATTGCATCAGAAATATGGATCAAATGGTGACAATTAAGACAATTGTGTGGACACACATGCAATTAATACCCGATTTTATTGAAGGAGTGTCCGACACGTGACTCAAAGTAAATAATAATTCAATTGATTTAAAGACAAATAGACTTTCCGTTTGTTTGATTCACTTATTTGTAAACAAAACTTTCGGTTTAGAAATCAATTGGTATTACAATTGATATAATAAGTGCAGAGATGGCGATATAAGTCATCATAAATTGACTATAATTTGTCATCAATTTAACTATTTTTTAATTAAAACAAATAATAATTTTATTTAAAAATTAATTTAATAAATTATTTTTTTCAATGTTTTTATAAATTTATTTTTCCAAAAAAAAAACAATTACAATTATAATAATTATACAGTAATATAAAGATTTATTTTGTGTTATGTATATCAATATTAATAAATTATTTTAAAAATATTAACAACCTTTATTATAAATTAATAGTACATATATACTGGTAATTGCTATCTTAAATTTATTAATAATATTAATTACAAATGTAATTTATAAATATATTCAACATTAAATTATAAATATGTCAAATTTATATACAATCTGTTTATATATATATATATATTTATAAATTATAATGAAATATATTATAAATTATGACTAAAAATATAGAAACTCATTCGTTAATGTATTATTTAATTTTAATATAATAAAAATGTTATTAAATATTTATTTACATAAATTTTATTTAATAGAGAATAACAAATTTAATTATGCCAATATTATAAAGTAATAGGTTAAGTATATATACTAAATTAAGTTTTATAATGATAATTAGTTATTGTTTGATTTAATCAAATTAATTACAAATATATTTAATTGTATTATATAGCTATAGTCATATTAATTATATGTTTAATTCTATTTATAGATACTTTTTTGACATTTTGTGTTATTGTAATACAGTATACGATTGCTTAATTGACAATCAATATTAATATCACGTTTATGATAATCACACAATTATCAAATGGAAAGTATCTCATATTGAAAAAATAATACTTAATTATATTTAATTTTATCTAAATTTTAACTTTTGATTATTGATAGCAAATATAAAGCATTAGATAGAAGATGGATGTGACCATTAGTTATCAAATTTTAAAAATTGTATAAAATATTTAATATTTCATTATCTTATCCAAGATTTTGGTCGATTTAAAAACATTTAACTTTCTATCAAATCGATTATCCCATATATACTCTACTGTACAGTATTGTCTAATTCAATAATTTCCAAATAGTTTATAATCCATTGTAATTTAAATTTTGTCGAAATAACTAAATAATGTCAATTACAATACAAATAAAATTGTTATAATTAATGTATTTTAATATTTTACGTTATTAGCATATTTCAAATGAAAACCAATTTAAAAATAAGACTGCACTTTAGATTTTTTTATTAGTTTTGATTTTATGGTTTTATTAAACATTAAATAATGTATATTTTATAATCTCCAATAGATATTATCCATATATTACAAAAAAATTACAAAATAATATTTTAAAAATAAAATGTATATAAATTGGTAAATACACGGTTAATCAAAATGTATATAAAGTATAATCTAATACATAATAAAGTATATATTATATATAATCATAAGTATGACATTAGTTAATTTTCAAGCTATTGGGTAATTTCAATAAATAGCATTTTAACTAATTAATTAATAATTCATCAATGTATTAATAACGTTTATAGTAATTAATTTTACCTAAATGTCAAAATTATATTTGTGACAAATAAGGGCACAAATAGACTTAAATCTCACGGAATGTTTAATTATTTACAGATAAACAAATTGATTACATAAAGCAATCATTTATAACAAATATGTATTTAACTAAAAGGTAAGGTTAATGGGTAACTAAATGGTACTAATTGTTGGTATTGTCGGGTATTAGCCATTAATTTATGTACAGATGCCTCATGACGTCTAAGCTTGTCTTTGACGATAAAACTTTTGCCACAATTTTCGACTTCACATTTAAACGGTCGAGTATTGGTATGTCGTCTCACATGAATTGTTAGTTTATTATTATATTTTGAAACATAAGAACAGTTAGGAAAATGGCATTTATAGAGCCGGACACCGGTGTGTGTCTTAGAGTGTCTCAATAGTTCAACACTAGTGGCGAACTGTGCGCTACAGTCACTCCAACCGCAATGAAACAGTTTTTCTCCGTTATGTTTTTGAACGTGACTTTTAAGAGCTTCGGCATTGACTGCAGTATAATAACAGTGCGGATATTGACATTTAAATACCTGTTGCCCAGTGTGTGACATCATATGAATGGTTAGATTTTGCTTTTTATTGAATTTGGCGTCACATCCCTTCCAATTGCATTTATATGGTCCTTAAAATTATATTTTAAAATATAATTACTGATAATTTATCAAAAAATAACAAAAAAAATGATAGATTTATAGCTTGCCTTACTTTGACCCAAATGTTTATAGACATGTATGACTGCGTAACTGCTCTTTTGTGTTTTGAATAGACATCCATCCCATTTGCATTCATACCAATTGCCATCATTTTTCACTATTTTATTGATATATTTTTCAACATTTTTTATCGATAGTATACCATAATTAGAGTCTTCGCAGACATCGTCACCTCCTTTGATGGCATCGACAGTCATTGTTTCTTGTGATTCAAAATTATTCAAATTAATAGTCGTGTCCTCCAATTCACTGATAATTACTTGAGGCACTAAGAGATCCATTTCGTCATCATTAAAGTCATTATCATCTTCCATGTCGTCGTTGGCAACTAACGGTACGACTTCTTTATTATTATTGTTTGGAGAAAGCAAAGCACTGATAGATCTTTCATTGAATTCATTGCGAGCTAACTCTTGTTTGTCCATTAAATCATTGGACAAATTATGTACTTTTTTAGTATCTGTAAGACTAATCTCTAAATCGTTATTTTGATTATTTTGAATTAAACTCAAAAATGCCATATTTTGTTCACTAATTGATTTTTCCAGATTTTTCTTAGCGTGAATTGATTTGTGATCTTTTAATTTCCAAGAATCGGTAAATTTTTTATCACATTCATCGCAACTGTAAGGACCTAATGAAAACACACAATCATTAGCTGAAAAATATTCAATAATAATAATAAAGTTATGTATATATCTTACGTTCACCGGTGTGTGAGCGCACGTGACGAACCAAATGATTGCTTTTATTTGATCCATAATTACAGTCTTTCCATTTGCAGAAATAAAAAGTGATTCCATTGACTTTGCGTCGCTCAACATATTGTTCCACATTCTTAATAGACATCACTATATCCACAGGACTTTTACCTTTAAAAGTCAATCTATTCGTAGGCGGTGTTTGAAGTGTTGGCATTGCTGGAAGTGGTGGCGAACATAAACTTTGCAGTAAAAGTTTGTTAGGAGTATAATATGTTAGATTGGGTACAGTAGTCACTGGTGTTGTTGTGGTAATATTACCAGTGTTTGGTATTGATGTATGATTGGTGCTTACAGTAGTCGATACATTAATATTATGACACAGTTTGTGATCTCTTAACTTCCAGCCATCGGTAAACCTTTTACCACAACCGGGAACATCACAGCAATGGTTTCGATCATTAGTATGACTGCAAATATGACGAACTAAATGATTACTTTTGTTACTAGAATAGGAACAGTTAGGCCATCGGCAAAAATAACGGGTAAGACCGTCCACTTTTTGGCGCTCGACATACTGTTCAACATTTTTGATAGACATCACCACTTTCTTGGGGGTCACTTGTTGTGTCATTTGTTCGTCACTCACATTAAATGTAATTTTGTTGAGAGATGTATTGGTCATTGAATTGGCATTATTTGTCATATTTGTCGAACCATTCGCCATAATTTGCATCAAACTGTTCACTTCGTTAACGATTATCTTATTGTCAATATTATCATTAGTTTTATTGTTGAGATCAAAAAACAGATCGACTGAATTTCTATTATTGGTGCCAATAGTGTTAATCACTTTTCTATAATGAGTTAATTGATGCTCTTTTAGTTTGTAGGCATCACTAAATCGTTTGCCACACTTTGGCCACTCGCACTTAAACAGGCGCTCATTCACTGCCAGTCCATGTAATGTCTGTATATGTTTTAATATTGTATGACAATTATGAGTACTGTAACTGCAACTAATATTTTTACATCTATACCACTCTTTTCCATCAATAAGTATAGTATCAAAGTATTGTCCAACATTGCTGACAACTTGATCAGTACCGGTAGTTGTGGTCACATTATCCACATTATCAACAGTTGAATCGACTTCACTAACAATACATTCAGGTATTAACAAACTTAAGTCACAATTTGAATTGTCGTCATCGTCTTGAAGATCATTTTCTTGCACTTCTTGACTTAGATCTGTTCTAACAATAGTTGTTTCATTCATCTTATCATCAGTTGAGGAGTCATTTAGTCTTTTGTTATTTGCATTAAGCATTTCAAAAAATAGTTTTAATTTTTGATCATTTTTGTTGACATCATTGGAGGCACTGGCAGTAATAGACATTGCTTTTCGTTGATGTGTTAATATATGATCCTTTTGTTTCCACGAATCGGTGAACTTTTTGTCACAATTAGGCCAACTGCATGAAAATGGTCGTTCCCCGGTATGCTTACGTATATGTCGTACCTAATCAATACATATTATAGTTATTATTTTGGTACATAAAATATCAATATTTAGATACATATTATTAAATTACAGGTATTTAAAAAAATATCATATAATTTGTATTTTAGCATACCATAATTATATAAGAAAAAAATATTTTAGTAATTAATGTTTGTGTTGTTAGTTAATTAAGCGATTATCTTAAACCAAATAATATATATTATATAATTATATATACGTATTAAGTGTATAATCAAGTTTATCATCAATTTATTTCAAGAGAAAATTTATCCAAATTCTGTTTTTTTCTTTATATTTTGAGATTTATTATTATTATTATTTGTTAACCAAAAATGGACTTACAATCAAAGTTCAATCAATTAATACTATCTATCATTTAATAACTATTTAATAATGTGTACAAAATTTAATAATAAAAACTAATATAATTAAATTATATTATTTAAAAATGTTTATAATACTAAAAATCCATTAATTTGTAACTTAATATCTAATAACAGTAATATTTTTAAATATAGTCAAACTTGAAAATATTTGTTCAATTATTTAGGTGTTTATATGATATGCCCACAAAAAATGGAGTTCAATATAATGTTAGGGCGAACCCAAACCCGCTTTTGGTTGGGCTCTCAAAGATTAGACTGTAAACTGATAGCTGCGGGGGGTCTCTATCAGTCTCAACCAAAAAAACATGAATTCCTCAATACTAGGAGGGGTCGCTTACATACAGCAGTCAACGTATCATATCATTTACAATTTAATTTTTGCTATCACTATAATAATATTATTAATTATAAAATAAAAGAAAAATTTCTATAAAAAATTGAAATCAATATATAAAATAGTAATAAAAACATAAGTTTACTGTAAAATTTTAATAATATAATAGATTTAAAATAAATAACAAGTACAGTATGTGTACTGTATATGTTTAACCCATAATAAAGGGTGTATTTGTGTTATTTTATTTATTATATTATTAAAAAAAATTTGCCTAAATATACGACAAAATATATGTTAAAAATTAAGTCACGAAATGTTTAGTTAATCCCATATCTAGATATGAGTGAAAAGAGAGAGGTTTGTGACAAAAATTTAGGTCAAACCCATGCATTTGATAGAGGAATAGGGTGTATACCATACATGAGTGAGGCATAGGGTGGGGGCCACTCTCTACTTAATGGGGGAGTAATTGGCAACCATTAAAATGGTGGTCAAAATAATTGGCACAAATGGCTAATAAATTAACACATATTACTGTTTATTAGGATTTTATGGATTAATTTAACAAATATTGGATTAATTAAAGTGATAGACAGAGACAAATAGACAAATTTACCAAATGGTTAGATTTATTGCTGGCGTACTGACATTGTTGCCATTTGCAGTGATACCAAGTAATACCATTAATCTTTCGGCGTTCAACAAACTCTTCAACATTACGGATACCATCGTAAACATGGCCAGCGTTACGGCCATCAGTGTTGGCGGCCATCATATCGGTATCAGTTCTAGCGATCAACACTTGTTTGGCACAATCATTGACACTAATTGGTGGTAATTCACTGTTGATATCATGTCTTTGATTATTATCATTGGGACTCAATGTAATACAAAACTTATGGTCACTTTTGTCGACTGATTCTTGTGTTGTTTGTTGATCTCTCTTCAAATGTGTGTCCAGAAAGTGGTTGTCTTCAAGTTTTATCTCCCAATCGATGTTTTGTCGCTTAATATCCAATAATTCAGACAATAAATTGAAATCATTTGCCATAATTTTGTCGACAAATACATTAATTTTCACACATTTTGTTTGACATTTAAATCGCTGTTTATATCATATATACAGCAATGATATGAATCAATGAAATACTTTTGGGAAATACAGTGACAGTAATGTTGTTGTTATGCAAACACTCATACACTCAATGAATTCATTTTGAAGGCGTTTCTAACAATACGGGACGGTATCATCATTACAACAAACTTTATATTTATATCATATTTAACTAAATTATTATTATTTCTATTAATTAGTTAAAACAATTAAAATATTCAATTTAATTCAAAATATAATTTAAAATATTTATAATAGTTATTTCAATTGTATATAATTTGTTTAACTTAAAAATTCTTATCAACTCAATAGACAAAATATTGAATACATGTATAAGAAGTGTTTTAATTTTATTTTTTAGTCAAATATTTAAATAAAAGACTATTACTTACAAAGTTTGGTATACAAGTTGTAGATAATACAACACATATGCAATTATTTTATATTAAATTATTTTTAAATAAAAATATCAGTGACTAATTCAATAACAAATATAGTACTAACAGTTGGAAAAATATTCATAAAATGTTTGTTCTCTAATATTTTACTCTCGAGAGAAAACATACTAAAAATCTTAAGTAAAAAATAATATATTTATAATTCTTTAAAAGTTAAAAATAAATTGCATATTATTGAGTCTCAAATTATAATAATATCTGAAAAGCTATTTATTTATCAATTATAATTACTACAGTATGATTATATAGTTATTTTAAAATTAATCAATTATATATATATATATATATATATATCAAGAGTATCCGGGTATTTTGTTAAATATATTTGACCCACAATAGCATATTAAGTGATCATCAAAATACTCTTTTATATACTTTATTTATATTAGTGTTGTTTATTATAATAAATTACTGAAAAGATGAATTTGAATAAATAATTTATATTTATATATATTCTATATTTTAAATAACAACTAAATTTAACTCTAATAAAATGAAAATTTTATTTATTTTACTTTTACTGATAAATTATAGTATAATTAGCTATAGTTTTCCAATAATATTAGAAGCGAAATACATTTGGAAATATGGGGTGAAATTATTATTATATATTTTTATATACTGTATTTGAATAATTGATTGATGTATTTGTTTTTACTACAAAAAGGACCCCAAATTTCTATACCCGTATATAAATAATATACCGGCGGATGAATGGAGACAAATACAACATCGAAAGGTTGGCTCTTATTCATGGCTCAGAAACAATCTACCATTCTTTGGATAATTTGAATAATAAATAGTATTATTATAATAATTTATTATCAAAATCAATATTATATATACCAGTATATATATACTTATTAAATATTACAACTTTAAAAATTATACAAATTAAATATATATATATGCTATAAATATGTTATATTTTAAACTACAGTAATATCAATATTACAGCAAATAAACATTTTGTATTACAGCAATAATTATTCAATTTGATATATAAAACAATTTGTGCCATTATATGGCTTAACAATACACATAACAGTAAACAACTATAACTAAATTTACTAAAATACATATAAAAACATTTTTTTCTTATTTAAACTCTTTTTAATAAATGACAAAAATATAAAAAAATAAAATCGTATTAATAAAACAAAATATAATCCATTATATTTTAAAAATATGATAAGTAATATAAATCTGCAATTTATATCAATAATGAATATTATTAAGAAGATTCATCAATCAATTCATGATAAGTAATAGAAAATAGATTATTAAGAGACTATAAAACGCTTGTTTTGTGACGATTTTTATGCAAACGAAGTGTCTTCTCATTGAATGCCTTGAACTGACAGTTCTTATAATTACATTTTAATAGTTGTGGGGCTCCTGTATGTGACATTTGATGATTGATTAGCTGTTGTTGGTCAGCAAAACTAGCGCTGCATTGATCCCAATTGCAGGTAAATAGACTAATATTCAGATGTTTCTGAATGTGTGTCATTACATCCTTTTGTTCGTGTGATCGGTATTTGCATTGACGAGGATTCCAAAGACAGACATACCATAAGATTTTATTATATTTTCTTTTAGTGATATATTTTGTAAAGCAATCATTTTCAGTCTTATCTTCATTAGTTCTCTCGTAAAACATTGTGTTTTCTACTTCAGCTTCTTCTTCATTAAAATGAGTTTCCGGTTCTTCAATCTCTTCATCTTCGTTGTCCTGAACATCGTCATCGATGTAGTCGTCATAATCTTCTTCAAAATCAACATATCGTGGATTCTTTTTGGCCGTTCGTTTAGGAACATCTCTTCTCTGACTTGTAGGTGTAGTGGCGTACGGATTGTCATCATTGGTTCCATTCATAAAACTTGGTTTAAATATTCTTAATTTAGAATTATCGTCGCTGTAGTCATCAAAATAGGTCTGATCGGTGACGTGTCGTTTAGTATTTTGTTGATAAGTATTGACAACTTTAAAGGAGTTCCTATTACCGATGCGTTTCAAAATAATCTTAGCCTTTACGCCGTGATGTATACGCAAATGATTTTTAAGATTACAGGCAATCGTAAATGGCTTTTGACAATAACCACATCTGAATGGCTTTATTCCTATAAACAGATAAATGAGAGATCAGTCTGAAAAACATCAAACAAATTCAAATGTTTACCCAAATGACTGCGGATGTGATTGACCTGAAAAATCATAATTTACATTAATATAAATAAAAACAGTTATCAATTGATACATACGATAGCACCCGACCATTTACTACCGTAAGTGCAAGTCAATGGTCGGTCTGGTTGGTGGTAATGACACGAATGCCATACTTTTCCGTGTTTTCTTGTGGTCATTATGTATGTCCGGACACTTTCTATACTGCTGTCAATTTTACTCACTTTCACTGGTGGTATGGTTTTCTTCTTAATCATCTTCACTGATCGACTTATCCGTGTCGACACTTTTGGCACTATTGATGTTGACGTTGTATTTGTCATCAACTTATCTTCACTATCGTTGTCAACATTTGTGTTATTGTTTTGATTTGTTGTGTCAATATTTATGTCATCAGTGATGGTCAGTCCTGTTTGCGGTGGCGATCGGTTATGTGTGGCCACAGCAGTAATACCATTATCTTCACTATGCGAATAGCATTTGTCGATTGAATGCTGGTTTAAATCCAAGAAAGTGATTCCATTGACTTTACAGATGACAGTCTTGCAGTTCATTTGTTTGGCCATTATTTCGGTGGACAAGTCATCGACGATACGATTACACGTGTGTTGTGTGTATGTGTCGTGAATTGAATCAATCATTGACTGCAATATTCATGTATTCAATGCATTCACTGACAAAACAATAACAAAAGAGAGACATGTTTTCCAATGTATTTCCAATGTATTCAATGTATTGCACTTTGGCTTAACATTTCAACCACTCGTCAAACATATATTTAACGCTTTTTAATGCTTTTAAAGTATGTTTGTATCCAATCAATCAAATAAACAATCAATTAATTAATCTATCAATCATTTTATGCAAACATTAATAACAATCAAATAAAACTGAATGTTAGTTATTTAAAATTCATTGATTAAAAAAATATTAAATTAATTTATTATAAAAATTTATTTTATATATTTTAATATATATTTCCAACTCATTTCTACCAAATAACCAAAACTATTATCAATTTTAAACAATTCCAAACCGATAATAAATTTAAATTTTTAGATTTATTAACTATATTTTAACTAAATGTTTACCCAAATTATGGTAATTTTCAAATTATCACATTATTTTGTCCATAAAATCAATTTTATTATGTTATATCCAATTGACAATATTTTCTAACCATATCTAATAAACTTAACTAAGTTATACTGTACTGTATTATAATAAACAGTTATTAAAATGATCAATGTCGTTTTGAATAGACAACTAAACAACAAAATAATGAAAATCCAATTGAAACCAAAAATCTTTATTTAGTTTATATTAATTCAATTGAAACAAATAATTATTTGGGTTTTCGGAAACACTTTTTTCGTTTTATTGTCCAATTTATTTAACATATGAATTATTATTACAATTTATATCTATTATTAGTAATTTAAAATTATTGTTTAGTAGAATAATATGTTATAATGTAGTAACATATTTATTAATATAAATTTTTCAATATCATACACTACTTAAATCTATTAATGGATTTTTATTCAAATTGTTACATACTGTAGATAAACAATTATTTAAATAAATTTAGTTACAGTATAATCTCAATACACAATAATTAACTTTTTTTTATAATTACCGTAATACCAAAATATGCTAAATCAATATTACAGATATACGTATAGACTTATATAATATACAATATATAGACTACTATTGTTAAACCTAAATATTACACCCAAAGATAACCAGATCATATTGTAATAATGGTATTCAAATCAATATAAATATTTTATTTAGTAATAATCATATACGGTATTTATGTGGCATTATATTTTGTTTAAATTTTTATTATAATTAGCAATTAATTAATTATATATTTATTTTTAATTATTCTACAGTATACTCGATAATTATAAATATATAACTGAATAATGTATTCTATAGGATACCAAAAAATTATAAGAATCCATGATTACAATTAAAGTAAATATACTTGTATTGTATGCAAAATTTATTTTATTAATAATTGGTTGTCAAAAAATAATAATCTGTTTTAATATACATTTCAAAAATAGTTGACTTTATAAGTATAAAAATAAATTAATTTTTCAAAAATTAATATAATTAAACAGTAATAGTTAAACAGTATTCTAAGTTACTAAGATGATATTAAATATACACATTTATTTATTATTATTATTACTATTATACAGTATGTGTGAACTGAATCATAATTAAATAATTATCTGTAATGGTATCTACAAAACTGTACCATTATTCATAAATCAATCTAATCAGTAAATAATAAAAATTTACTTTATATAATTAAATAATTTAGAAATGAGTTTTTTAAATTTAAAAATCAATCTCAAATATAATTAATTTATAATTAAATTAAAATTTCAAACAATCATGTTTTATAATAATAATGTTATTATTATTTTGAAAAACTTATTGTACTGTTTAATGACAGATATTATAATTTATGACATATTATAATATCAATATTGTTTTATCGATTAAAACTCTTTAATGACTGATACCATTAGTGACTAAATGGTTGATCAAATGGACATTAATTTTTTCGATCACTTTTTGGTTTTATGTACATTCTTGTGATTGTTTAGATTGGTTTTCATCGCATATCGATTTCCACAGATATTGCAACTGTTAGAAAAAAGTTTGAATAATCATTTTGTTTCAATTAATATAAAATCTAATAATAATGTAAAAATTTTCATTGATTTTCTTACACATATTGTTTGTCGTCGAAGTGGACATTCTTCATGTGATAGATAATAGACGTGGCGTAAGGCGTTTCATAAGTACAAAGTTTACAACACCTCCAAGTTTTTTGATCCCTGTGCTGAACATTGAAGTATGGTTTGACACTTTTAATGCCTACAATTGTTGGCTTCTTAGTTAGCAAATTGTTATGATTGTCGGATACCTTGACTTTTAAATTATTATTATTGTTATCCATGTTTTTGTTGTTGTCTTCCACTTTAAGTTTAGGACTTTCCGGTCGAGTCTTAACAGAAATAACTGACTTTTTCGTATTTCGGTTAATAACATATTTATTAGTGATTTTATCGACAAATGATTTCTTCTTTTTCTGAGTAATTACTTGTTTTACTTTGTTTTTAGTGAATCCATTAGTTTGTTGCATAAGAGCACTATTTGTTGAGCAATGTTTAGACTTTTGTTGCAAACTTTGTTTTTGACGATGAGATCCATTGAATAAATTATTTGTGACATCACTTTCATTAGTACTTTCATATGGATTCTGGTCTTCATTATAAGTGGTAATGTCTTGTGATAATCGACGTTGTTTTCTGGCGACGTGTACTTTATGATGATTACGAAGATTGGATGCAATGGCAAAACTTTTATCACAACCGGAATATTCACAGACAAATGGAAAGTATTTCATATGATTTCTGATATGATTTGCAATGGCATTCCTCCAGAGCGACTGATAGCTACAGTTCTTCCATTTACATAAAAACAACTGACGACCACCCGATTTGGCCACTGATAAGTACTGTTGATAACTGTCTAAGTTTTGTTGGCAATCCATTAAATTTTCTTCTTGTTTGATATAATTTTCACAATTGTTTTGCGGTACTAATGAAAAGTTACGGTCGAAGTCATCCAATAATTTTTGACAATTGTCTTCATAAGATTCTTCTAAAGGATCTATAACTTCTTGTTTGACTCGATTTAAATCGTAATTATCATCGGAAACATCATTATAATAGCCATCAACCTTATGATTGTCAATAATAGGTGATTGTTGGTCATCATCCGGGCTATCGCTGTAATAGTAGACATGATCTTCGCTATTGCTATCAAAGTCTCGGCTCAACCGTAAAACGGTATGTCCTTTGACTCTACATATAATCGTAATATATTTGGCCATTCGGTCACCTTTTTTACAGCATTTACTATTAGTTTGGTGTCTATATATATAATAATTTCAAATATAAATAATTTTTTAAAAAATAATAATATATTATCTTAAATATTATATTATTAATTTATTAATTGAGTATATAATAAATATTCTACTGTTTTTAGCTTAATATTTTAAAATAATGATGAGTCGGTTAATATTAAAATTAAAACAAATGAATAAACAATTATATTATCAAAATTAATATAATGCTTTAAACAATATTAATTATAATTATATATATATATATATATATATATATATATATATATATAATGTGACATTTTATTGATTATTGTAATTTACAAATCAATCAAAATTATGGTAAAATTGAGGAAAATAATCGTATATTTCTTTGAATTATTAATTCACACATTTTATGCTACATTTACAGCTAGTTTTTAGACACATAACGCACTGGAAGTATAGCACACACACACATACAGTACTGTACATTACATACCGTTTGACACCATATAAACCAGTTATATGTAATAAAATCAATGTTTTGAAAACTTTTTATACAAATGGATTAGTAAAATATTATTGAAAACATATTGTAATTTGAATACTTATTTATTATGTTTTTAATATGTTATCGCAATATTTATTGCCAAAACAATCATGATTTTCACTATAATTAAACTTTTTTGCTATCCGTTTAGTGACACCACTTATATCATTAAACTTTAAGTTAGTTTTTAGTTATATTTCTATTAATATTGATATTATTAACATTTATTACTCTACTATACATATACAATGTAATTAAAAATTTATTATTAAATGTGGATATATATTTAATAATAATTGAATTATAATTTATATATCTTGTATTAATACATAAAATTTACAATATATTAGTTTGTTTATAGTTTTTTAATCAAGAAATTTGTTTCCATATTTTATGAAAATTATCATTTAAAATAAACTACTGTATTATATTATTGTAGTAATTATCAAAATTATTAAAATAATTTTATACTAGTTCTACATTTATCAATCAAATTATTTTTATTATATAAAAAATAAATTACAAGTATAATTTTTTTACAATAAAATCTATACATACTTTATATACAGTATATATAAATAATTATTTTGTTTAATAATAATAAATGCAATAAAATAAAATAAAAACTATTATTTGATAAGACATAAAATTTTTTACAAATTAAATTATAGTTATAATTTATGATCCCTGCATGCAATGCAATACAGAGTAAATACATTATTTAATTAAAAATATTTATCAAGAATAAAACAAATCTGAAGGTCGCCTAAAAAAATTACTAATAATATATATATAAATTTTTAGTTTATCCTTCGATATTATATGATCCATATAAGTAGTAATTATTTTTGTAAAATATTAATAATAAATTTAAATTTTTAATGATTAATCACGAAAATATATAGCTAACAGTTATTAATACAACAGTTAACTGTTATATAACGTATAACACACACACACACACACACACACACACTATATATATATATATATATATATATATATACGGTAAAAGATTAAATATATATATATATATATATATATATATATATATATATATATATATATATATATTGAATATACAGTATATATACTGTATATTAAGTTAAAATTATATAAATATCAATTTCTATTTTTGTCTATATATATAATCTAATTTTGACGTAAAAATGCTAGAAACAGATATTTCAAAATTACATTTTTATTTAATTAGTAACTATTTATCATAATTTATATTTATAATAAATTTTACTTATTTTTCATGAGTATTACTAAAATAAATGTGTACTGCATAATTTATAACATTAAATCATTAATATTATAATATACTATATATATATATTGACTATATGCCGTACATACAGTATATAATATATGCAAAATTAAAATTGAGTTGATAGCGGATGAATTAATAGTTTATATATTGTTATAAACTAAAATTTTAATTTACATAAAATAAAACCTTGAGTATAAATAAACAATTACATTTACCTGCTGAATTTTGTAATCACTAGAAATAATAAATATTTAAAAAAAAACTAGTTAATAATACAGTATTATTACATTAATATATTTCACGAAAATGTTTAATAATACTGTAAACATTAACATATAATATCTCATACAAATGTCAATATTTATATTGGCTTAAAAATAATATATAATCATAAATATACTATCAATTTAAATTTATATATACTTTAGTTCGTGTACTGTACTTAATCATAATAACATTTTACTACAGTATAACTGTATATCTATGATAGTAAACAAAATTATTTACAGTACAGTATTGTATTGATTTGCTATAATTTTACTAAAATCCAAATTATTTAATGTTTAAATATTTAATAAAGTTTTAGATAGTTTATAGCGTAATACTGTATTTTATATACTAAAATAATAATAATTATATTATTGTAGTAATACTGTATGTAATTGTAAAGTAAATGTTTTCCTATACTAAAAATACAATTACACAGTATTTAAAAAGCTTTGAATAATTGAGTAAATGCTATACACTTTATAATAAGTCATATTAATTAATTAAAATTTTAATTATACAGCACATAATGTGTCTTAAAATTAATCCTTATATTATCACATAATATAATGATTTATAGAAAATTAAAAAGAATATATTAAATCAAAATTCTTTAATATTAAGCTATAAATGTTACTTAAATATTAAAATATACAAAAATCAATACAATAATGTTAATAATTACATGAATCTTTAGTTAATATTTTATAATTATAATTTTTAATGCAATAATTATGTTAAAAATTATTCTAATAATTTAATATATATTTGAAACAATAAAGCAAAATATAAAAAGGTATTCATTAGATATACTATTTTAATATCATTTATATATAAAGAGATGGCAATCCTTGTATCTATTTTTTTAGATGTAATATTTGACTTATGGTTAACCACATCATTAAATGGGATCAATCATATCTTTTATTAAAACAAAATTAATAATATTAAGGTAAGGTTTATAGAAAAAGTTATATAACTTTGAGTACGAGAATATCCGTCACACAAATCAATTAAATTTATTTTTAAGTCAATTATTCACAACTATCATTGGTCACAATATACATATATAAATATCATATATATTTTCAAATCGATAATTTCGATATACATAAAATTATAATTCGTGTTAACTTAACTTTCCTAAAAGTATCTTAACTTTAATAAATTATAGCATAAACGCATAAAAAAGTTAACTTAATTGATTAGAGGGGGTGTGAATGGGGTTCGGGTTTAAAGTTTTCAAAATATACATCCTATTATATCTATTACAGTATACCTCATATAATTGGTTTTTATTTAATTAATAATTAATCGTTAAATTAATTGCGATATCATTTTATCAATTTACAAGCTATAAAATTGTAAGCTATAAAATTACAAAAATTATAATAAATATAGATATATATAAAGAATAATATCTGAAAAATGTTTCTTTTTATCAAATCTATTGAAATATTAATTAAGTTTATTTAAACAAAATGTCATTAAAATTTCTAACTAATTTGTAATATTTATTATAATAATTATAATAAATATAATAAACAATATTAGATAAGGACTATAAATAATATCTATAAAACTGATTGAGTTATACAACATTCATCAATGTATAAAACAAATACCTGTATTTAAATTTAAAAAATAAATAAAACGTTATTTATAAACAAGCATTACGTTTACAGTACACTTGAATTATATATATATTTAATTTCAATTTAATTGTTTATATAATGAATTAGTATTATAACATACAGACAATAAAATTAATTACTTACCAAAATGTAATGCAAATTATTCAAATATAAAATTCAATTATACATATTAAACATACTATATATATATATATATATATATTTATCGACATACACTTTTGAGGTTAAAATAAACTCTTAAATCATAAAAAATATTACTAAATACTAAATAATTTATCTATAATATTATTGAATATAATAATAAAAATAAATTAATATTATTAATACTATATATAGTATGTTTATGGATACAATATATTGAAATATTATGAATTTAGCTAACTAACTATCATCAAAATATTAGTATTTTATATTATTGTACTCTATATATACAGAGTATATAATTTATATATAACTATATAACTTATATGATTTGTTTGAAATAAAGTAGACTTGAATTTTCAAGTAAACAACAGAGCATTTGTGCCATTTTTTCTCTTATTTTTTTGTACAACACATAACTCATAGAATAAATTATTTGTATAAAAAAAAATCATATATAAAAAATAGTTTTAAAAATTTGTATATTTTTTCTAACACCAGTAAATGTAATAAATATACTCAACAGTGAATATGAAATACAGTAATAATAAAATACAATAATAAAAATAATTTTATTATTATTGAATATAAAGTATTATATCATATGTACAGATTTGTTTGGCTTATATAAGTTATACTGTATATTGATAATACTTTAGTAATTTATATCTATTTTATTTAAAATAATTCATATTTTCAAGTACAGTATTACAGTACATACATACATACATACATACAGTATATTTGTATTATTTGAATTTAGTTGCTTATTAATAAAAAATTACTGTTAATTAATTAAATTAATTAATAAAAAGTTTCCAAGGTTTTAATAATAAACTTGGTGCATATTTTAAAGATACAATATCATTGAAAAATATTGTTAAATCACATGAATTAAAATTTGCTAGACTTAGTAAAGTATAAAATTAATATAATTGATAAAAATATTCGAGTAATAAAAATATATATCAATTTTTTTTCTTCATAAATAATCATAATTTTATTTTATCAATAATACCATTTTGATGATAATAAGTACAAATTAGTTCATAAATACGTAAAATATTTTACCATGTTTTAATAATATTCAAACATTATCAAGGTAATTACATTGACTTAAATTAATTATATCATATTGTTATTAAAATAAACAATTGATATATTGACTATAATTTTCAATTATATTTAAATTATATTATTTATTAGAATCATATTGTTTAATTTATTTTCATTTATGTTTTATAGACATAAAAAATAAAATTACTATCACTTACCTTGCTTAGTTACGTTATATGCACCCACTGAAAATGTGTTGTAACTGTGTATTCATAATATCTAGGCTTTCAAATTGATTTATGTTATACTAATAATATTTATTATACTGTATTATACAATATGTTAAATGTTTTAAATATAAATATGTGTCGTTTTATGATATCCTGGTGAATGTGCATTGGCTCACTTAATATCAATTAAAATTTATATATTAAATAACAATATTTATGTAAAGTTAAACTACCTAATTTTTTCAAAATTTAATAACTAATAATTTTTAATATAATAAACAAATTTTCAATTTTAATATAGCCTATTTAGAATTTGAATAATTAGTTATTTTTAAGTTTTATAATTATTAATTTAATTTTCATCTAGATAAAAATAAGATATTAACAAAATATTAATTTTTTTAAACAAAAAATATTATTTTATTTAAATTCTCATTTTAATGTGTCATTATTAGCACATTAATGTAAAAGTATAATTGAATAGCTAATTAATTGTTGTAATTAAATATGTAATGTTATTTTAAAATTTATCACTAAAATGTTATATAAAAATATACATATTTTAAATTCTTTAAAAAATAATATTTCTAATAATATTTCTAATAATAATAATAATACGATAAAATTAAATTATGACTTTTGTGTAATCACAATCAATGTTTATTTCAGAGCAATATTATCTGATATATCCATGAGCTTTTATGATTTAAAACTAATTATTACAATATGATATAATTTATATAAATATTAGATATAAACTGTGAAATATTTTTTTCTAGTTTAATATGAAATCACAAATAAGGTAATTGTAATAAATTTCTCTAATAGTAATTATTTATTTGTGTTAATTTTTAATTGTTACATGGTGACTTACTAAAAAACAAGTGTTATATCATATTGATACTGTTTTTAATAATTTGTTTAACCTTGCTTAATTTATACACTAAAATCTATTCAAATAATTTTATAAAATGGAATTATGATAATTTAATTTTATATCTTTTAAAGAATTTTTATAAATTATTAATTATAAATATATGTTTTTAATTAAGTCAATTAAAAACATATTGTAGTATTTATAAGTGATTTATTAAATTTATATTCTATAATGTCATCAATTGACCAAAAAATTGGTGCAAATCATAACATATATCGTGGACTTTATCCGATACGAGAAGTGAAACAATATTATCGGAGAGAGTTTGTTAACGGAAAACCTCTGTATATCTGTTTGTGGGGCGACTGTGACTTCAAGACATGGAAGTACTCACAACATATCGCAAGACATATTCATTTGAAACACATCGGTATTAAAGAATTGAAATGCGATGAAAAGGGATGTGAAAAGACATTTAAGAGACCGGAAAGTCTGGTTCAGCACCAGAAGAATCATTTGTGTGGCTTTGGTATCGATTCACTGAAGATGAAAGACCCGAACAATGTGTGCGGAGTTAAGAATATTAAGAAATACTACTTCCGAGAGTTGGATAACGACTACTATGTATTTGGATGCAAATGGACGGCCTGTGAGTTCGTGACCAATAACTCGGGTAGTATTAGAAGACATGTTCACAATCAGGTATTTTATTACAGATACTATATTTTATTATTATTACTACATTTTATATAAATTTAAAACAAATTATTATTATTATACAGTATTAATTTCAATGATTATAAAAATTAGTAACAAATCTAATATAATTTACTATTAAAGCTATCAAATTTGAAAAATATAAGTAAAATTATGTTAAATCAGTAAATATTATAACTATATTAATAGCATATATGCCCGCATTCTTTGGCCAATAATAATAATAATACTACTGTGGATAAAATATCTATAACTTTATCGAAAAATACTCCAATAATTGATTCAAACAATAATTACAATGTGGATCAACCAATGGTTGAGATGATAGAACTGGATCCACAATCAATCATACCTAAGATAAACAATAAAATTAATTCAGTAATTGATGGAAATGATGACAACTTATATGACAATCCGACCAAACCTATTGATATAGAGGACGATATAGAGGCCAACGCTATCTACAAGTCAACAACTGGTGGTTTATATTCTTTGAAGAATTATTCAGATCTCTATAGAAAAGTCAAAATCGATGGCGAAGTGTATTTCAAATGCAATTGCAATCAGTTTACCACAAAAAGTCAGATAAGTCTTGTGCGACATATTTGGACAGACATCGGACGCAATGAGTTTGACTGTAATGTCAACGATTGTGACGCAAAGTTTGATAACGAGTTTAGTCTTTATAAACATAAGAAAACTGAACATAACTTTGAATCAAATAATAGTAATATAACTTCAAACACATGTCTCGATAAATATAACGATTCAAAACAAACTCACAATTATTTAACACATAAAAGCATTTCTGATCCATTAAATGGATTGTCAAGTGTTATCATTACACCGATTCCTCGTAATGTTAGCATTACTCCCGTATCACTTGTCAATGGCCAACCATTGCCGCAATATTATGACACTTCTTATATAAGCAAAAGTGTCACTCAATTGGTGCCAAACAACACACCTCTTGAAAAGTTTAGTCATTATTTTATTAGAGTTTTAGTTAACAACGATATGATATATGAATGCAAATGCGGATACTATTCAACAAAATGCAGTCATGAACTGATCCAACACATCCAAACAGATCATAAAGAGTTGTACGCATTTGACTGTCAACAGTGCAGATCTACTGTTAACCACAACTCTAAACATTTATTACCAGTAGTTCCCACTCATACATCCTTTCCATCTATTCCTCCAAAGCCAATAAATAGCATAATATATACAACTAATAAAACAATTAATACTTATGTGAATATAAGTGATCACTTGGTTGTCAATCAAACTCAAGTACCGGTATTTTCTAACAAAACTTCTGTCATTACATCACGTTTTCATACAATTCCTTAATTTTAAATTAATTTTGTTTTAATTCTGTAGTATTAAATTGTTAATATTTTAATAATAAAATAAATAATTTTATTAATTATTAAAAAATATAAATACTGTAAGTAAAATGTTATATTATTTTTGTTTGGATCAAAACTTTTTTTTCATCCATGAGTTTGTTGTTTTCATAAAAATATTTTAGCTTTAGTTTTAAAATTTTGAGTTTCATAAATTTAATTTTAACAATAACTTATATCTTGTATTATAAATATTGAATTTATATATATATATATATATATTTGTTTTGTAAAATTTTGATAGATATCCAAAAAATTGATTTTATCTATTTTGATAATTATAAAATATTACAATACAAAAAATTAATATTAATATAATACTGTATAACTTAATTTTTATACATATAAATAATATATATTGTTTTTAATTAAAAAATAAAATATTTTGCAAATATAAAATAGAAGGTTATTATTATAAATAATAAAAAATAATTTTTACCATATCTGTATGTAATATTATTATTATAGTAATTATATACTATATTATTATTATTGTTAACAATTAGTTCATGTTCTTGTTTATTTTTTTGCTGGTATCATAATTAAACCAGTTGAGAATGCTAGAAAGCATTACCAAAAACAAATTTTTAACGCATAAATTACTTGTTTTTGTCATATTATAAACAAAATATTTATTGATTTTCTGATGATGCAAAATTTCTGTAGATGCAAAATATATGATGATGCAATATATCTGATGATGCAATATATCTGATGATGCAATATTTCTGATGATGCAATATTTCTGTAGATGCAATATATCTGATGATGGAATATATCTGATGATGGAATATTTCTGATGATGCAATATTTCTGATGATGCAATATTTCTGATGATGCAATATTTCTGATGATACAATATTTCTGATGATGCAATATTTCTGATGATACAATATTTCTGATGATGCAATATTTCTGATGATGCAATATTTCTGTAGATGCAATATATCTGATGATGCAATATTTCTGATGATGCAATATTTCTGATGATGGAATATATCTGATGCAATATATCTGATGATGCAATATTTCTGATGATGCAATATTTCTGTAGATGCAATATATCTGATGATGGAATATATCTGATGATGGAATATATCTGATGATGCAATATTTCTGATGATACAATATTTCTGATGATGCAATATTTCTGATGATGCAATATTTCTGATGATGCAATATTTCTGATGATACAATATTTCTGATGATGCAATATTTCTGATGATGCAATATTTCTGATGATGCAATATTTCTGATGATGCAATATTTCTGATGATACAATATTTCTGATGATGCAATATTTCTGATGATGCAATATTTCTGTAGATGCAATATATCTGATGATGCAATATTTCTGATGATGCAATATTTCTGATGATGGAATATATCTGATGCAATATATCTGATGATGCAATATTTCTGATGATGCAATATTTCTGTAGATGCAATATATCTGATGATGGAATATATCTGATGATGGAATATATCTGATGATGCAATATTTCTGATGATACAATATTTCTGATGATGCAATATTTCTGATGATGCAATATTTCTGTAGATGCAATATATCTGATGATGCAATATTTCTGATGATGCAATATTTCTGATGATGGAATATATCTGATGCAATATATCTGATGATGCAATATTTCTGATGATGCAATATTTCTGTAGATGCAATATATCTGATGATGCAATATATCTGATGATGGAATATATCTGATGATGGAATATATCTGATGATGCAATATTTCTGATGATACAATATATCTGATGATGCAATATTTCTGATGATACAATATTTCTGATGATGCAATATATATGATGATGCAATATATCTGATGATGCAATATTTCTGATGATGCAATATTTCTGTAGATGCAATATATCTGATGATGGAATATATCTGATGATGGAATATATCTGATGATGCAATATTTCTGATGATACAATATTTCTGATGATGCAATATTTCTGATGATGCAATATTTCTGATGATGCAATATTTCTGATGATACAATATTTCTGATGATGCAATATTTCTGATGATGCAATATTTCTGATGATACAATATTTCTGATGATGCAATATTTCTGATGATACAATATTTCTGATGATGCAATATTTCTGATGATGCAATATTTCTGTAGATGCAATATATCTGATGATGCAATATTTCTGATGATGCAATATTTCTGATGATGCAATATATCTGATGATGCAATATTTCTGATGATGCAATATATCTGATGATGGAATATATCTGATGATGCAATATTTCTGATGATACAATATTTCTGATGATGCAATATATCTGATGATGGAATATATCTGATGATGCAATATATCTGATGATGCAATATTTCTGATGATGCAATATTTCTGATGATGCAATATTTCTGTAGATGCAATATATCTGATGATGCAATATTTCTGTAGATGCAATATATCTGATGATGCAATATTTCTGTAGATGCAATTTATCTGATGATGCATTATTTCTGATGATGCAATATTTCTGATGATGCAATATTTCTGATGATGCAATATATCTGATGATGCAATATTTCTGTAGATGCAATATATCTGATGATGCAATATTTCTGTAGATGCAATTTATCTGATGATGCATTATTTCTGATGATGCAATATTTGTGGTGATGAAATTGTATTTTTATAATGATTTATAGATCATTTTATAATATATTAATTTATCCGCAATTTTCTCTGTTCTTGATGAGGTAAAAATTTTAATTCTGATTCCTATACTTTATTTTTGATGCATAATAAAATCTAAACCAAAAGTTTCAACCTAAATTTTTTATACTTTGGCCGCCATTTTCTATGTATCGGAAAATATATTAAAATTTTAATTCTGATTTCTATACCTTACTTATAATGGTTTGTTCAAATCTTATCTTTAAAATTGTTAACTAAAATTTTTTGTACTTTGGCCGCCATTTTCTCTATGTTCCTGAAGAGATAACAAAATGCTGATCCCCTATACCTTATTTTTGATGATCTAACCGAATCTGAAATCAGAATTTCAAAATTCACAAAACACACACACACACACACACACACATAGAATTCATTAAACAAATTTGAAAAAAATTTGTTTGAAAATATTTAGTACAATAGATTTTATTAAATGAGCCTTGCTTGTTTGGCAATTTTGCTACATACAAGTAACAGCTTTAATAATAATAATAAATTATTTAATGATTTAATATTGACTTTGTAAATATCATTGTAAATGAGGTCAATTTAAACGCGAATATACTGTGTATTATAAATTTTAACAGTAAATATGCAACACATAAATGACTTGATTAACTGAATAAAATGATAAGATTGACCCGTTTTAATCGTGGCAAATAAATAACTAAATAACTACATATACACTACAATATAGTATAATTAATTTATGTTTACATTTTACTGTCAATTATAAAAAACCTTTGTCTATTATGTTTTGTGTTGAGATAATATCACCATAATAAAAAATAATATAAAATATGCACAATAGTTAAATTTAAACTTATAAAACAACAATTATCAAATTTTTCCCATATTTCATGATTTTTTTTGCTTTAGAAAACATATTGATTTGGGTTTACTGTCAAAACAAATTCAAGTTCTAGTCTATAATACAGATCTTATATAATATTTTAAAAATTATCTATACATAAGATTCTACAATTTTTACAGTATATAACAAATACTAAATAATTGAAATCTCATGATTACAGCAATATATTAATAAATATTACATAATTTTTATTTAAAAATATTACTAGATACATAAATTTGTAAAAATAAAAGGAAGTTACAAAAATATTCATTATTTTTTAATTAAATTAATTGAAAATTTTTATTTAATGTGTGCATTTGATCCATAATAAAATTATAGTTTTACATTATTTGTTATAAAATTTTAATATATTTTTAAAAATTGATAAAATATAAATTTAGTGTATGAACTGTATAAAACATGTCAATTATAATTAATTGTACAATTTTGTATCGGTATAAGGGTTTCAATTATGCAGTTAATAGCTTGTTTTTAATTTATTCATGAATAATTATATATTTATATAATTTATATGCTAATTTTTATTATATATTGTATTATAAATTAAATTTTTTGCAGCATATGTTCATAATTTTGTTTAAAAAACAAAATCTGAGCTTGTTTTTAAAACTAATATTATCTATAACAGATAATATTTTAACTATTTTTTAAATCAAATATTTTTATTTTCTTTTTTTATAATAATGCCAATGAGATCATTATTATTTTTTAAATGTTGATATTTAAATAGTTAACAAAAACATCAAGATAATATTCTATGCCATATATATATCAATTTACAATGATCGGGTATAATCTATTTTCAAGGTAATAATATTCACACACACACACACACACACACACACACACACACACACACACACACACACACACACACACACACACACACACACACACACACAATTACACCTTACCCATATAATTTTTTTGTTTATTAAGTTTGTTTAATTAAGCAATATTGCAAATTATCCTTGAAGAGAAATATTATATTTAAAACTTGAATAAAAATATCAGCACCATTTGGTTTGCATGAATACCGTAACAATAAATGCTTACGACAAACATGTAAAATGAGATCCTATTTAAATGTTTTTTTAATATTATAAACTGTGTATTTATTCAATAAAGAATATATTTAGAAAAATACAGAGAGAGAGAGAGAGAGAGAGAGAGAGAGAGAGAGAGAGAGAGAGAGAGAGAGAGAGAGAGAGAGAGAGAGAGAGAGAGAGAGTACAGTTTAACAGACTTGAACGACAAATAACAAAATATGATTACTTATAATAACTTATGGGTCTGTCCCATATGTTTGCTAAGGGTTTAACCCGTTATTTTAAATATATTTAAAA